GGGGGGGTAGAACTCTGGTCCTTGCACTTTCGAGGCAGGCAGTGGCACCACCGAGCTAAATCCCCAGCCCATTGTCTTGTTTTTTTCCATTTCACTTGAAGATATTCTAGTACCATGCCCTATGTTATTCTTATGTCTTCAGAACTATGCTATATATGTTACAAGTAGTTGGAAAATGCAAAAAAGTAAATCAAGGTGCACATCCTTATCTCTGTAGTCATTTGAGTTCCTCAGTATTACTGTAAAATACAGTAAAGGGAGCAGATAAAATTTACCATCATTTATATATGTGGGGCTATGCAAGTAAAATGATTACTAAAACCAGAAGAGGAAGGTAGTACAAGAACCTAGGTCTTTTGCTTCTAAAGGTCAGTTTAATTTCTCTTCAGTCACAACAATTAATGAGCATTTTGCCATTTGTTCGGTACCATTAATTTGATAGCCTTTTCAAACGAATGTGAATGGGTTTGTATCTCTTACTGGTTGTTTTGTATTTGTAGGCAGCTGGGATTAATTAGGACAAAGTCAATTGCACCAGCAAATGAGAGTCTAAGCAGAAGCAAATCCAGTAAGTATTGTGCTTAGTTTCCTTACATTTTATAGCCCTGCACTTTTGGCACTGGTAAAGCATAACACTCTAATCTTTTGCAGAGCAATTATATGACTACTTAATTGTTATTGATTTTGAGTCTACTTGCTGGAATGATGGGAAGCATCACAATAGCCAAGAAATAAGTAAGTCTAGACTTCAAATGACTAAATTTAGCAATGAATGTGTCATTTTTAAGGTTGATACATAAAATAATTTAGGAATTTCATGCAAAACCTTAGTTGCATAGAAAATAAAAACAAACACACACCTTTGCAAAACAGTAAATTAGAGCTGTGGATGAAGCTTAGTGGCACAGTGCCAGCCTGGCAGTTGAGAGGCCCTCAGATCAATTCCCAGTACCAAAAAAGAAAAAAGACAGAAAAGGTGGGGACCAAAAATGGGATAAATTTCAACCTCCCAACTGGTCTCCATAAATATAAATAGATATACACAGAACTTCAATATTTTGATTTATTCTTTGTCATAACTCTATTGTAGCTGCGTCACATTGCCTTGGTCATAATGTTTTTACTGAAAAGGGTTTTTTTTAGTGCATGTTGATGATACACAATACATCATGAGGTGTTGGTATATGTACACTGAAACTTCAATAATGCTTTTATGACAGTAGTATGTATTTAATTTAGAGTGGCTACAGCATTAATTTAGATATTGTTTTTTCAATTGTCACTTTATTCTTTCATTTAGTTGAATTTCCAGCGGTATTACTGAATACATCAACTGGAGAGATTGAATCTGAATTCCATGCTTATGTTCAGCCCCAAGAACACCCAATTCTTTCTGAATTTTGCATGGAACTGACTGGCATAAAGCAGGTATGATCACAAATTCAGTAATAAATTTCAAAGTGAAAATAAAAGTTATATACATTTGGAATTAGACTTATTTAGTGTTAGGAGAAAAGTGTTCCCCTCCAGAAATCCACAGGAATTTTTAAAATCAGAAAATATAGTGTTAGAAACACGAAGACCAGGCCTGGGGTGTATAGCTCAGTGCTAAAGAGTTTGCCTAAAATGTCTGAAGCCCCGGGTTTGGTCCTCCAGCATTGCAGAAAAAAAAAAAAAAAAGATCAAATTTATTTTATGGAAATCAAATGATTTAAATTTATCTTCTATTTCCGTTAGTCTGTACCAGTGATCGTGAACCTTCAGTGATAACAGACAGCCTGCTGTGGCACATGTGCCGTAGGTTCACCATCATTGATCTATATGATCGTATTTGTGTGATGTTAGAT